TGGTGTTGAATATATATATATATATATATATATTATAATTTTCTAATTTTGTAAATATTTAAGGTGTAATGTTTACAATTTGGGTAAGATTAAAATAGATGAAATGGGGTATGGCCAAGGAGATTCATAAATTTTAATTATGGTCTGTTTGGGGCTACTGCAACTTATTGAATAGTCTGTTGATAGACTAATTAAAAATAATTTGTTAATAAGCTAGGTGGAGCGACTATTAGAAATTTTCATATTCATGAAAAAGTCAAACCGTTGCCAGAGGGTCCGTTTGGAGCAGCTTATTTGGTGCAGTTGCGTTTTGAAAACGCACCTGACCTGTTTTGGTAAACTGAGTTTTGACAGCTTATGCGTTTTCAAAACGCATAAAACAACGTTTTCACACCACACCTGACGACTTATTGGCAACGATCAGACTTTTCCAAAAAAATAAAAGTTTGTAATAGTCATCGCACATAGCTTATCAGCAGATTATTTTTAATCAGCTTATCAACATATTATTCAATAAGCTGCAGCTGCCCCAAACAGGCTCAAAAAGCTGTCACCACAACTATATAGGTGCAGTGTGCTTTCAGCGTTTTCAAAACTCATAAGTTGTCAAAACGCAGTTCACTCAAACAGTTCAGGTGCATTTTCATAACGCCACCGTACCAAATAAACTCCCCAAACACACACACCACTCGGGGCAATTATTTAATATCGTTTAAATTGCCTCCCGATTAAACAAATGAAAAGTTTTATCGGATATGATTTTTTATCATAAACTCTTATTGATGTGGCACGTCAGGTGTGTTTATAAAATTATAATGATTTATAAAATTTCTTATAAGTACTAAATTTTAGACGTGTATTCAGTAAAAAATTTTGTAGTATTACATGGATGGTCCTGGCAGCTGCTGTGTGGGGCCCGCAAAATTGCTCGTGGGCCCAGGCCCGTACCAATCTCATAAATGAAATTAGTATAATTATTTTTATTTTTATTTAAATTTGCATAAAAAAATTTTAACACACCACAGCTCTTATAATTATAAAGATCATATAAAAATATAATATTTATTATCATCTTTTAATAAAAAATAAAAATTTAGGTGCAAGATAAATAAACTCATATATAATTTTCTCTTAAATTTAATTAATATTTTTTTTAAAAAAACATATAAATTCTTTATTGCAAATAAAAAATTTTATGAACATAAGATAAGCATAAAAAAAAAAAAACATACAAATTCTTTATTGCATATAAGAGTTTAGGCCGATGCATTTTAATATTTTGATTATATTAAATATGTGAATGCTTTAGAGTAAAGTTCCTTTTATGCATATAATTTCATAAATATATCTTGAGTAAAAAAAAAAATTATTTTTTTATTATGCATGCAATAGGCTACTGTGATTATTTAATTGATTTTATGTTTAGAGGGTTCTCTTAGAATTTATATACATTTTATTTTTTATAATAATAGCTCCAAATTTTATATAAATAAGTAGTTGTTTCACCTCCCCCTCCTACCCATGTTTCAAGGTTTGGCTCCATGCTATTTTTAATTGTTAAAAACTTGCAAATTATAAATCCTCGCCCAAAAGCACGGTTGTTGAAATCGTATCTGTCCAGGAGTCGCACTTAAAAAATAAAGTTTAAGGCGGAAGAGAAAGAGAGGGAGAGACATATGGTATAGTGCACCTGAATTAACAATTAAAAAATATTCTTGATTAACCTTTTTATAAAGGAATGATCCCTTTATTTATATAGGATAAGGAATATAATATGTGTAATTATGTGTCTGCCCCTACTTTAATAGGGGTGTAACGGGATATTTTAGGTATCTTATATGTGTAAACCAGCGACTCTCTACATATTACCAAGTTGGTTGAGATTAGAGGGCCCTGGTTCGGCAAGACTCGTTCTCGTTTGCCTGATTGTGATAAATTATGATGTTGGTTGGCTTCTGATGGTCTTTGGGACGACCTTACTTAACTTTGTCAGCTTGAATCTGTCTGTCGGCTGCTCTAGTCTGGTTGTTGTCTATCAATCACGAGATGAGGAACTCATGTCGACAGAGCAAGACTAGGCTATCATGCAAAATGTGAGTCACGATAATCCGAAAGGCAGTTCACCCATCGATAGGGAGCCCTTGGGGATGCTCTTAGAGTATGTCATGACAAATCCTAGGTTTCTTGATGAAGAGTATTGCAGGTGTTTATGAGATGCTGGCGATACTGAGTTTTTTTTTCCTTGAGTCGAGTTGGGGCGAGAGTTGGGTTGATGCATTCTCTCAGCTCGATTGACCTTGATATTTGGTTCAGACGACTTGTGTTGGATCAGCTTCATTCCTCATTTTAGGGGGGTTATACTTGGTCAGGCAAGTGCCAACACTTGGTTAAGTGAGGCATTAGATTTTCTGCTAATAAGTTTTTTGTCTTTGCCGATGGGTCGCCATGGTAGTACTTTCCCATGTCCAAATCTTTTGATCTTCTCGAGGTTTGTGCTAACATATTTTTGATGTACAAATTTAATTCCTTGATTTTCTTGCTTCATGAAAATTGTATCTGTGATAAAAATAAGAGAATTAAATGAAAAAATATACTCATTTCTTTTATAGTCAGTACTTTTAATGATTGCATTTTTGGATTTCTGCCCTTATGATCACTGTAAATAGATTGTGATTGTTACCTTGACCATCACATTTTCTTTCGTGTATGTTTCTCTTAGTTGATCGGTCTTAAGATCATCTTCATGACGAGGAATAGGAACCCTTAAGTACCGTGCTCAATTACGAGATGATGAGGAGGGCCTTCCGACTGTTCTCGTCGTGAACTCCTATCGAGGCAAAGAAAAAACCATAGAGCAAGAAAAAAAGCCTATGGGGGAAGAGATCAGAGGGAGGAAGTCGACCAAAGGGAGAAAAACTGACAAAATAAGCTCTAGCCCCTCTCATATTTGGTCTAGAGAGGTAGTATGCCCCCCCTAAAAAAAGATGATGGTTCCGCCCATGTTTAATTCTACATCATTTAATCAAGAAAAAACAAAAGTTCACACATGTCTTCTAAATTATGAATCTCTTCCTTACAAGTATTTGCACTCGTGAGTTCTGAATTGAGGACATGTAACTCGCTATGAACCTAATAAATTTAAAATATATACTTGAAAATAAATTAAGTAAATATTTTTCAAATTAAATTTTTAATTTTTAAATAGTTTTGAAAATTAGATTTAAATTAGAATTTTTTTGGAAATTAAATTTTAATGATATTAAAATTAGCGATTAGCATCCAAATAGACCTATGATATTATTGTATTTTGTTACAATAAAATTTTATTACTATACACCCAAAAAAAATTATTAAAGTTACTTATCCCGTACGGCAACTGCAGTGTACGTCCGCGGTACATTCACCGTTCCCAAATATCAACCGTCGCTTCACCGATGAAGGCGGTATCTGAACCCTCCCTCTCTCTCTCTCTCTATTCTCTCCCTCCTCTTACCCTACATCTCTATCAGATGTTGGATATCGACTGAAGATTGAAGAGGATACCCCTGCTCCGGCCATGCGATCCTTCTGCTGGCTTTCTCTGTTCAGCTGGCCAGCCAGCTACGCCGCCCCGCTTCCATTTCACCTCTTTCTCCCGGTGCCTTCGTTCCTTTTCATCCCAACCTAATTCCATCTTCGCTGGCTTTGTTGTTGGTTCATCTATGAAGTGCAGCCACCCTCCATCTTTGCCGAAACCCATTACGGCCATTCTGTCCGTGGACCTTCTGGTTCGGATCCTGGACCATATCGTCGACGCTGGAGACCGGAAATCGTTCCGCCTTGTCTGCGATCACTTTCTCCTAGCCGAATCGCTTCACCGCCGATCGCTCCGCCCGCTTCGCCTTAAGTATCTTCCCTCTCTGCTCGGCCGCCGATATCCATCCATTGAATCCCTCGATCTCTCCGTTTGCCATTCACTTGATGATAACTCCCTGGCCACCGCGATCGCTTCCGGAAGCTACTGGCAGAAGCTACGCCGGGTGGGGCTCGCCAGAGCGAGTGGGGTTGGGTGGAAGGGAATCGAAGCTCTGGTTACAACATGTCCCTTAATCGAGGCAATCGACCTCTCGCATTGCTGCGAGGTTGGCGATAGGGTGGCGGCAGCGCTTGCTAAGGCCGCCGGGCTTAGGGATTTGAGGATAGATAAGTGTCTCGGGGTGACAGATGTCGGACTTGCCATGGTGTCTGTGGGGTGCGGAAGGCTCGAGAGATTGGGGATTAAGTGGTGTATGGAGATTTCCGATATCGGTATCGATCTGCTTGTCAAGAAGTGCAGGAATTTGAGGGTGCTCGATCTGTCTTATCTCCAGGTCCGTAATACTTTATGGTTTGCATTTTTTTTGTTATGGTTTTTTTCACAAAGATTTATGCAAAAACGTCTGACTTAGCTGCCGATTTTTGATTGTTTGTTATAGGTTATAAGTTTTGATGGTTTCGCTTCTCAGGACTTTTTATTTATTTGCTTACAGGTGACTAATAATTCTCTTCGTGCGATCTCCTCCCTTGAGAAATTTGAAGCTCTTTCTCTTGTAGGATGCCGGTTCATTGATGACGAAGGCTTAGCTTTTCTCAACAATGGTAGAAATTCATTACAGGTGCCAGTTTAAGCATCAGCTCTTCACTATTATTTATATTTCCAAAAAAAAAAAAAAAATCCTAGGCAATAATCTGCCGATTTGAGCTTCACCTAGCTAAGAATATGCTATTTTTAGGTGCTGATTGGTTGCAAGATTTATCTTATAGTAGGCTGCCAAAATCTAGACTTCCTCATTTTTTCTTTAATTCTTAAATTCAAAAAACCCTTGGGGAAGTATGTTTTAAGAGTTTTATTTCACATTTTTTTTCATTACGTGTTAGTTCTCCTTATTAAAATTTGTAATCTCTAAAATACATGCCAAATTTTTTTTAGAATTTAATCAAATTTAACATTGCCAAACAGTTTTTTATTTTTCTTTTAGTATTTGTTGATTCCTAAATTATCCTTCGAAGACACGCCCCGAGAGTTAGAGCTGGGAGGAGAGAAAAGAGAGTCAGCATAGTGAGAGAGTCGAAAGTCCCTTTATTCATGTCGTGATCTCCTACTTATAGGGTCTGAAAATGCAGTTACATAAAGGAGGAAATAATTATAATAATCGCCCAAATAACTGAATCCCATCAAATGACAATTACATTAGATTGCAAAGATATATAATGTCTGTTAATCGCCCGGTATTTTGGGTTCGACCGACAAAGTCGATCGATCTTGTACATTAGATTGTTTCCTCAGAAGGATCCATTCAATCGATCAAAGTCTTTCGATTATTCGGTCGCTTGTTCTGTCGGTCGATAGGCCTGTAGTGTTCGATCAACTGTATGTCTGTTGACATCCGCTTTTTGACTCGAAACATCGATCCCTAGGTCTCTATTCCTAGCCTTTCGACTCCTTTGAGATTCGCGTTGGGATTTTTGGTGCATGCATATTAATTTTCTGATTTTTCTGCTCCTTGATGACGACAACCACGATAAAAACTAAAAAATTAATAAGCAATAAATGATAGTAATAAAAAAATTAATTTATAAACAATTCTTCCTTATTTTTTGTGCTCAGTGAATTCTATAATAAGATTTGAGACCCTGCATTTTATTCATTTCTTTCACCATTATTTAAATCGTTCGAGTGACATTATGGTCGACGGTTCGAGTGAGAAGTATGTTGATGCACGTCTGTTGGTTTTAGAAGGTTTTCGACTGCTGTTTCACTGCAGTTAAAAAGAAGAAAAAAGTCATAAAGAAAAAGAAACGATCGACACCCGAACCTGAGTCGGTCAACCAGGTCACTGCTTCGGAAGGTCCTAGTAATGTGTCGAAAAAGTTCAATTTGGACCCTCGTCAGAAAGATCCGACTTTTGACATGAATATGAGAGTGATTATTGAGAAAAACCGGTAAGCCGTTGAAAAAAACAAAACTGTCCCCCCCCCCCCCCCCCCCCCCCCCCCCAAAAGGATGGAGTCTTCCAGCTTAAGGAATAGATGAATTTTCCAACACTCTGAATTGAACAGATATTTGAGCATCTCTCTCTGAATTGAACATATACTTGGGTATCTCTCTCTGACTTGAACATATACTTGGGTATGTAAATTTTTTTTAACTTCGACAACTTTTAATAATTCTTTGACATTACTCTCAATACAGAGGTTGCTGCACTTCAAGATGCATTGAGCAACGTACAAACCGAGTTAGCGCCCATGAGTGAGTTGACCGTTTTGAGCAAATTCCATCAAGACATTAATCGAATGGAGCAAATTAGGTTGGGCGGAGAGTTGGTCTTTTGAAGGATGCTTCAGCAGGGATATGCCTCGAATGAAGCGGCGACATATCCTTTTATAAGTATTTCCTTCAAAAAAATGCAATCATTTTATATATAATGAAATAATTTTTTAATTATTGTGAAATAATATTTGGCGTGACACTTATCGTTTCGAGATGTTTCTATTTTGTGCCTACCTTATAAATATGGCTTGAGGCTGTGAGTTGTCTTTTGTGCCTTCTCTTTGATTTTTTTCTCCTGAATTTATATCTCTGCTTTCTCCCGGTGGCCTCAAAGTATTCTCCCACTCTTTTTGGAATATATCCTGCTATCGACGCATTTATCCTGACTGTGGAGAATGTCAAGGAAATGCAGAAGTACATCTTTGACAAGAACATTGTCTTGCGTGACACTTGGTAGTCGAAACGCCCGACAACCAGCTTCGGTCTAGACTTGGTTTTCTATCGGGACTTTTTCAAATATGGGCTTCGACTGCCTTTTTGCTCTCAGTTGCGGAGCATCTTCAACAAGTATGGGGTATTCCAACGCAGGTCATCCCAAATTCAATCGTTGCCATAATGACCTTAATGGTTTTCTGCAGTTGGGAATCAATTCCTTGGTCGATCGATTTGTTTAACCACTTCTATTCTTTTAAGGTCGACAAGGATGACTTTGCCATGTTGTTTGTCAGAAAGAAGTTCAAGCTGTTTGGAGTTGAAAACAAAGTCGAGGACTGGAAGAAATAGTTTATGATTGACTCTTACGCTGGCTGCTAGGGGATTTACACCAAGTCGATCGATACATCAGTGGACAAAATCAAGTCCATGCCACAAGAATTGTGTGCCTTCAGAGTGATGCTGGCATGGTGTAAACTGTCGGTTCCCTAGGACACTGCGGAGGGAAGTGTCAATTAGGTTTTGAAGGATCAGATGACCCGGGACCAGTGGCTCATCTCTGATGCCGTAGAAGCCGCCTGAGCGAAGGCGATCTCAGAAAAGTTAGCTGCGAAGTAGCAAAAGCTCAAGTTTCCTCGGTCGAAAGGTAAACTTATAGAGGGTTAATTCTCTGGTGGTATTGCCGCTGCGACATCTGACACCAACAGTGCTAAGTTTGTTACTTTGTCAAAAACCTCGATAGTAGTCCAAAACACCTTAATTGATGAAGAGATATGTGATAATGGAGAAACTTGCATTGACTGTTATCATCTTAGTAAGGAAACTACATCCCTACTTTTAGGCACGCACTGTGAATGTAATTACAATAATTCGCTGAAATCAGTGTTATCACGAGTCGAACATTTTTGAACGTTATTAAAGTGGCTGGTAGAACCGAGCGAGTTCAACATTTCTTATATTCCCAGGAAAGGCAATCAAGCCCACTTAGTTGTCGCTTCCTAGCAGATTTCTTAGAAGGGCTCATCCAAGATGACACCAACATCACAGATAGGCTCTTCATTCAATCATACTCAATTTCGATGCCATGCATAATCAAATGTGTTTGAAGCACTGATCACCGGACAACGTCTTTCATTAGTAATTGAATTAAAGTACCTTCTTGTTAAGTTGAATTTACAATTAGCAGTCAATCAAGTAAATGGAGTATTCGAGATACAGGACGATATAAAAAAATACTTATTAAAGGTTAAAACTGATTTAAAAATCTTGAATATTTTCGAATCAAACATATTTTGAGGGAAGAATTTTATTTTGCCTATCTGCTCCATAAAAGTGTATATCAAGGATTCAAATGACATACAATTCTAGAGTAGCCCGTTATTGAGGAGCCCAAAGTGCTAAACACCGAGCCAAAGTTTATTGCAAGTTGTATCGACCTTATGAAAGCATATTTGGCCATAGTTCAAGTTCCATCAGGAGTAACAAATCCTCGAAAGTTTAGATCAAAAGCGGCCCAATACTACATTATCGGAGATGAATTATTTAGAAAGTTAGTAATTATTATTTTATTAAGATGTGTTACGAGGATGAAACAATAGCCATCCTCCAACAAATTCACGCAGGAGAATGTAGAAGCCATTCAGGAGGAAAATCATTGCAATTGAATCCTGCTACAACGATACTATTGGCTAACCTTGAGGAAAGACTCAGAGTTCGCGCAATGATGGGAACAGTGCCAAAGGTTTGCTCCCATATAATTACAACCTTCTCATGAGCTTCAATCAATTACAAGTCCATGGTCTTTTGTGGTGTGAGGGATGGATCTGCTTAGTTCATTTCCTATTGTAATAATCGGCCACTTTTTCAAATAGATTGAAGCCAAGTCACTTGCAAAAATCACCTCTGAAGCAGTCCACAATTTCATATGGATTGACATTATATATCGATATGAACCAGTCCTTATAATCATAACCAAACAATGACACTTAGTTTGTCAATAAGAAGGTTATGAATTTATGCAGCCAACAAGGAATACAACTCAAATACACTTCCATGCATCATTTGACGACGAATGGTCAAGTGGAGGCATACAACAAATTAATTCTCAGCTTGTTAAGAAGGAATATAAAAGGAGCAAAAGGAGACGGCTTAATTCTTGCCCTTCGTACTATAGAAGCTATACATTTATTGAGAGGTTTGATTGAGAAGTTCAGAGATAATAAGGAGGATCTACATTTGATTTTTATTGATTTAGAAAAAGCTTACGATAAGATTCCAAGAGATATCCTTTGCAGAGTTCTTGAGAAGAAAAGTTTTGATATGACTTATATTCAAGCGATTAAAGATATGTCTTCGAACTGAAGGAAGATTGACCAATTATTTTCCTATTTCTGTTGGATTACATCAAGGACCAGCTTTAAGCCCATATCTTTTTGCTTTAGTTATGGATGGTGCTTTAGTTTGCTTTAGTTATGGATGGTCTTATTGGACATTTACAGGAGGATGTACCTTGGTGTATACTTTTTGCTGATGATATCCTTCTCTTGGATAAGTGGAGAAAATGCCGAGGAAAAACTTGAATTATGGAGGTCTACATTGGAGTCTAGAGGCCTTCATTTGAGTAGAATTAAAACTGAATACATGAAATGTAATTTTAGTAGTAGTAGTAGCTCTAGTGAAAGAAGTGTAACTTTGGGTGATCAAACTATTAGAAGGTGTGAACGATTTAGACATCTCAGGTTTATTGTTCAAAGTGATGGTGTTATAGATGAGGATGTTTATAGTAGAATTCAAGTTGGTTGGTTGAAGTGGAGGAATGCTTCAGGCCTTTTGTGCGATAGAAAAGTAACGCTTAGACTAAAAGGAAAATTTTATAAGATGGTGGTGAGACCTGCAATGCTCTATGGCGCTGAA